TTTCTCCACTCTTTCCTTGTGTTATATAATTATTATATCTTCGCCGCCCTCGCCCGGGCATACTTACCCTTCGCGCCCCGGGCTGCCGCCTACCACCCACTCTTAACCTAACTACGGCTTCGCCGGCCCTGGCTCGGGCATATTGCGCTTCGCGCCCCGGCTTACCGCATATATAATTCACTTATCCCTCCTCAATATCTAACCCCAAATATATAACCCTGACCCTGACCCTTATTCTAAGAAATCCATCCTATAGCCTGCCCGACGGTATACCTAAACCCGCCTGGTACCGCTCCTACCGCTCTAATACACATATATAAATGGTCCGGGCATGCATAGCGGTCCCACCTCCCTGGTAAATAACTATTCCGCTACCGCATGGTTCTGGTCTATGGCCGCACGGGTTCCACCACCCTGATAAATAATACTCGGCCTGCCGGCGGCCTAACCCACGGCCGCACGGGTTCCACCACCCTGATAAATATCTATATATAGTTGACTACTCGAACTATAAGCCAGCTATTACACTGGAAATTCGCCCGTGTTCTCGACGACCCCGTTACTTCCGGGACCGTTAATATCTCGCGCGGCCGATCACCTTGATAGTTCGCGCTTACTCTGGGGCGTGGTTATACGGCTGCCGCAATCCGCCCCTATAAACGACGGTTCCTAGCGGCACCTCATATTAGTAACGAAGCGCTATGTTAACCTTCGCTTGTAATCCTGGTATATATATTTCTAGCGTATGATTACGTCGCTAGCACGATCAGCGCCTGTAAATACCCCGTTCCTAACGGCACCCCATATCACTAGCGAAGCGCTGTGTGAACCTTCGCCTGTGATACTGGCATACATATCTACCTTCCCTACTAGTGAACCTCCCGGACGACCGCTTCTAGTACGGCAAGCCCGTTCGTCATCCTCTCTCCGAGTACCTCTCGCGGCCGTACGATCCACTCTCGCCACTCCCCCATCTCCGGTAGACCCCCTTCAACCTCGTCCTCTACTATCTCCCGTAGTAAATCCTGTTTCTGCACGTACATTAGTACCGGCAGTACCTTGTCGTTCCACCGGCACTCCTCCTGGCGCCTTCTCTTCCATCCGCGCTCTAGACCTAAGCAGTCTATCTCCTCTCCCTCTGACTGCGACTCCGAGCCCTCCGTACGGCCCAGCTTTTCGCACCAGTCGAGCCCCAGCCCGCAGCGCCAGCAGCAGCTTCCTTCGACAAACTGGAGCCCTGTTCGCCACTCGATGTAGTCCGCCTTCCTGATCACACGACACCTATGTAGCCCGTGCCCGTACGACCTCCTGCTCGATACCGGTGACCCTACCATCCGCCACTGTACGTAGCACACGGCACACTGGCTCTCTCCTTCGACCGCTCCTAGCCAGCTCCGGAGCAGCTCTTTCCTTTGCTGCTGCTGTATCTGGCGCTCCTGGAACCGGTTTGATACGTCTAGTTCCTCCTCTCCGGATTCTTCATCTTCCGATTCCTCCTCCTCCGCCGTACTGTCGTCTGCCGTCTCCTCGTCACTGGCCGCTCCGCCCTTACACCAGTCGCACCGTACCGCCCGATCGTATCACAGTCCTCCCCTTCTACCCCATCCATGAACCTGCCCAGCACCGCTCGCCGGCACTCTCCGCCCCTGACGAACTGCTCGATCGCCAGCCGGTTCGTCCTCTCCACGTCCGTCTCTCGGCCTTCAACCTCCTGCCGCCTCTTCTGCTGCCCTGGCCCTGCCTCGTCTGCAAGCACGATAACCGCCTCGACCACCTCCCCGTCCCTGCGGCCGCCGCGGCCCGTCTGCTGAATGTAGTCCACTAGCCCGTACGGCTCTTCTGCGTGTAGAATCACGCTGATTCCGGGAATATCTACGCCTGTTCCGAGACCTGTCGTTGCCGTGATCCACCGGGACGCGCTGCTGCCGTTCACCCATGCCTCGAGTACCTCCTCTCGCGCCTGGGTCTCCATCCCGCTGTGGTAATACCCGCACCCGATCCGCTCCGCCAGCTTCTGGCTATCCTTCTTCGACCGGCAGTACACTACCCCCTTCCTATCGCCGTTAAGCGACCCGGAGCTCTTCCTCTCCTCGACCAGTCGTACGACCTCCTCCTGCACCGCGTTTCCAACCTTCCGGCCTCTTCCTAGTCCGGCCCTACTTGGGACCGTAGTAACGGCGTACCGGATGTTCTTCTTCGTTGTCCGTGCCCGTATAATCTCGGCGTCTTCCGCAATCATCTGCTGCCGGAACCAGCCCTCTAGCTTCACCGGGAGCGTAGCTGTAAGCAAGATTACCGGACAGTCGTACCGGTACAGCCCCTTCAGCTCCACGAGCCTCTTCCGGTAGCCGACGTCCATGATAATCGTGTGGCACTCGTCGATGAAGATCCGCCGTAGTAGCCTCCGGCTCCGTAGCGTGTCTGCGTAGTTGCAGAACTCGTGGTTGCTTGCCTGGTCGGCGCTGACTACGACTAGACTAGCCACGCGCACGAGCGAGTTAGCTTCCCGGCCCTCCTCCTCAGCCGACCTCCAGCGTACGCAGTCGATCCCGAACGAGCGTGCCCGCGCGACGAGATCGTCGATCAGCGCTACGAACGGAACGACGACGATACTAACGCCGCCGTTTAACCCTCGTACCGCCGGGACCATAAATAGTAGACTCTTGCCGCCGCCCGTCGGTAGTACGACGATGAGTACGGAGCCGCCTCGCATCTGTATGATCCGGACCATGGCCTGCTCCTGTTCTGCCGTCCTCCAGCGCGCACCGGCCCCAATAATCGATTCGAGCCCGTGCTGGACCCGGCGCCGGACCTCCCCGACGGCTTCTGGGAGCGTCTTCCTCTGCTTCGCCGGCTCTGGGCTCGACTCTATCGTCTCCTCCCTACCTGGGAGTTCGGCCTCCGTAGACTCTCGCTTCCGCTTCCTCGTCCGCTTCTGCGCCTGGTCCGGCGACTTGCCCTTACCCTGGCTATCCCAGCTCAGATACTGGTGCCAGAGCCGGCTGATCTCGCGGTAGTTGGCGATCATCTGCGGCTGTAGCTGCCCTGGGAACTGGATGTTGATCGCGTAGTGCGATCGTGCCATGGCACTGCTGTGTGTCGCCTGCAGATCCCAGATTACCTCCGTCCGGTCCCTCGGTCGTAGCTCGCCAGTAGCCTCGTCGAATTCCTCATCCTCGGGCCCGTATCCGTCATCGGCCGCGCCGACCTCGAGCTCCTTCTGCTGTACGATAAGCCCCTGAATCGTACGGCCTAGCTCGATCGCGAGATGGCGGTACGTCGAAGTACCTAGCTCGACGCCGAGATAGCCCGCCGTAGCTGCCCTAAGCTCCTTCGTAAGCACGTCCGTTCCCCAGCGGCCTTTCCGGCCGTCCTTCCATAGCCAGTGCCGCAGCGATTCCGACGGTTTTCGAGCCCGAATCGCATCGAGAAGCATCTCCTCGAACGGGACTAGCCAGACGAGATAGACGACAAGTAGCTGCCCGACCCGTTCCGGGAGAAAGCGTGCGACCTTTCGGCCGTAGCCCCGGATCGACTTGGCCTTATCTCGGTCCGTTACGAGCATTACCTGCCCGTCGAAGATATAGACGCTCCGGCTTAGCTGCTTCGTATCTAGATACCGCACGCTCGTGATCTCGGGCCCTCGGCCTGGCTGGCCTCCCCAGACGTGCGTTAGTACGAGTAGCTGGCTCTTCAGCGTTCCGATCTGGTTTAGCCACTTCTGCGACCGCTCCCGGTGGTACTGCTGCCGCTGGGACGACCAGAGCCTCTCCGAAACGAGCTCGGCAACGACGCGGGGCCCGGCTTGAAGCCAGCTGTTCTGCGGGTTTGAGATGAACGATTTCCCACCCCCTTCGTACATTACGCTGTCGTTGATTTTGCTAAGCTCGATCCGTCCTAGTAGTACCGCCGACTGGCCGTACAGAAGCCCGTCGAGCGCCGATTCGGCTGTTGAGACGAGCCCCTGGGCCATCCGCCGGAAGTTCTGGACCTCGATCCGGAAGCCGTGTAGCCGGAGCGCCTGCTTCCCGTCCTCCCAGATAATCCGTGCTGCCCCCCCTTCCTTCTGGCGGTAGCCCTTTCCGATCGTTAAGAACCGGGTTAGCGTACTGAACGGGCTGTACGAGCCGTCTGCGATCCACTGCCGATAGCCGTCCATAAATGCGTCGATATCCCTAGCCTGGAGCTGGCTACGCCCTTCGTCCTCCCCTTCGCCGGAGTCCGTAGTACTATCCTCTTCCTGGATCGGGACGTGCTCGAAGAAGTACTCTAGTAGTAGTACGCGGCTACACCACGCTAGACCCGCTAGTAGTGTTGTAAACTCGGCCGGCGGCCGAAATCGTGCTCGGACGGGGTCGATCGCGAGTACGGTAGTGAAGTGTAGTAGCGGGTTTACGTACGGTTGTACTAGTACCCGCTGCGTAAGCGACAGAACACAGAACGTGAAGACGGCCTCGTCTAGATATCCGTCGTCGCCGCCGCCCTCGCGATTCTCCTCCTCCTCGCCGCCGCCCCCTACCCGGGAGCTCTCCTCCTCCGTACTATCGAGAGCCTCTATAATAGCCTCGAGAGCGGCCCACTGCTGGTCGGTAAACTGGACCTGGTGCTTCCTCCTCGCCTCCGTACGGCCGAGCCGGAAGACCCGGACGCAGTAGCAGAGATAGCGCCGCCAGTAGCTCCGGTACTTCTCCATCGTATGCGCCTCCTGCTTAACGCGGAACGGCCGCGGCGACGGCCGGTTCGGGTCGCGGCTTGCTAGCCAGCAGAGCGTCTCCACGGGTACCTGGCCGATCCGCCGGCTACACCGCTCGATTACCCGGTTGAAGCTCTGGCCCAGCCGTACGAGCGTCGCCTCCGAAGCCTCCCTCTCTTTCCGGACGGACCAGCTTAGTTTAGCTAGCTCCTTCGTCGATAGACCTGGCTCGGCGGCGCGCCGTAGTTCCGCCATATCCTTGCCGGCCAGATGCGCCGCCCAGCCCATCTGGCTCACCCACGGCGACTCATAGTCGACGCCGGCCTCGTAGTCGATAATCCGGCCCCGCTCCGCCTCTTCGGCGGCCGCTTTAGCCTCGTACGCCGCCATGTGGGCCTCCCAGACTTGACCTCCGCCGCCGCTGTCCGGCCCCGCTGCCGCCGATTTGACTGCCCGTAGCTGGCCGCCCTTAAGCTGGTGCCTCTGTCGGTAGTGGGTAACTACACCACCTACGGCCGCTGCGATTCCTGCCCTACATAGTGTGCAGACTAGTACGCGGCTTGCCCGATATAGATAGAGCTCTGGTGTTACTGCTGGCTCGGTCGTTGCTGTAGCTCTCGCGTCCTCCTGCTGCTGCTGCTGCCGCTGCTGCGCGGCGCTGCCGTAATCGCTCTCGTAGTCGCCTCCCTGGCTGCTGCGGTCCATCGTGGAGTACTACCTGTCGTATGCGATTCTCTTCTCGGTACTACTTCTGATCTTCGACTCTTGCCTATATTCTTGGGAAGAGACCCTAAGCTAGTATTATAGTTCAATCGAAATGCGCGCGCGCGTCCGTTTCATTCTCCTCCTCCCTCTATCTCCTCTTACGCGCGTCCCCTCTCCCCTTTAGACTCCCCGGGCTCGCGCTGTTACGCGTACGCGCTTATCTCCTTTTTATTACCTATTACTTACCTTGTCCCCCTTTTCGCGGCAGTGCCTAGCCGTACACGCGTAGCTGAGCTGGGGGGGTTAAGGTTCGGACCCCTACTAGTTAGGGTTGGGTTAGCTAGGGGTTAGCACATTTACGCTGGCCGGAATGAACTCAGGGTACCGGAATGAACTTAATAGCCCGTACCCTTCCGGGCCGGGAATGACCTACCTCCGCCGCCGAACTACTACCGCCGCTAAACTACTATACCTCTGCCGAACTACTACCGCCGCCGAACTGCTACCGCCGCCGCCGCCGACCTACCTGCCGACCTCTGCCAGCCTGCCACGGCCAGACCCTATATATCCAAATAAGCAGCCAGTCTCTTAAGAACAAACAGGCCCGGTGGTCAAGCGGTAAGACGTCGCTAGCAATTGCTAAGCGGAATCCCTGGTTCAACTCCGGGCCGGATTACTGCGCCTACTTGAGAATCTCTTCGTCTCGTAGAGATTCTCAAGTGGGTAGCTCTTTTTGCCGGCACCCCTTCCTCCGCTTCGGAGGTATTTTCGCTATGTTAACTACCTGCCGACCTGCTACCGGCTCCGACGAACTGCCACTACTCCGCCGACCTGCTACCGCTGCCGCCGAACTACCTGCTGACCTGCCTGCCGGCCTGCCTGCCGACCAGCCTGCCGACCTGCCTGCCTGCCTGAGCCTTATATATCCAAATAAGCGACTGACTATTTAACAAACAGCCAGAGAGCCTCGCTGGTCTAGCGGTCATGACGTCACTGCTATATAGCTCTCCATTCCCACGTCGGCCGCAGGAATAAGGGTCCCTAACCTGAGCTTGTGGAGCCATCCGACCCGGACGCTCGAGCTAGTCACAGTTGAAGAGCTAGGTTCGACTCCTAGGCGTGGCATTTTTTTGGCCCTCCTCTCTCTGCCTCTCTCTTTTGCGCGCGCCTCTGCCTGCCTGCTTGCTCTGGCAGTCGACGCGCCTCCCTCGTCGTCGTGCGGCCTGTGCATGTACGCATATGAGGGCGCCACTGGGCCCCACAGGTTCGGACCCCTGCTAGTTGGGGTTGGGCTTGGGGTTGGGTTAGCTGTGGGTTAGCCCATTTTTCGCTGGCCGGAATGAACTCAATCTGGGGTTAGTTGGGGTACCGGAATGGGCTCAATGGCCCGTGCCCCCGGCCCCCTGTCCCACCAGGAATCGCCGAAAGTGAGGCCAACCCGGCCGGGAATGATGGTCAGGTTACAGGCGTCATCTTACGCGGCATCAATGAACGGGCAATGGGAATGAGACGCCACGCACCAATTCGAGGAATAGATCAACGGGAGCCGCGGCAACTTATCATACACCTCGGGTTCATGCAGGTCCTCGAGCTGGCGCGCGAGACGGTCAATGTTGCGTATGACAGCATCGGGCACAACCATGATGCCGTCGCGACCGGGCTGGCGCTTGTTGCAGGCCTTTTCGACGGCGGCGAGGGCTTCGCGACGACGGTTGAGCATGGCTGGCGGAGACTTGCGCTCTCCCGTGCAAAGCGTGCACGCGCACTCAAAGCCCCAGCTGCCCTTGTACTCGGCATTGCGCCCGTCGAGGAGCGACTTGACGGGCACGTACTGCTGAAAGAGTTCCTCGCCCGCTACAATATCGCGCGTCGCCCGGCTGATCAGCATGTCGCCTAAGAACGATCGCATCGTGTTAGGAACGCAGCTGTGGTTCATGTGGCTGGCGTGGGCCCAGAGACCCTTTGCCATGCGGACCGCGGCGCCGGGAGGAGTGGGTTTCGTGTTGTCGATGGACGTTAGTGGCGCGCTGAAACTGTTCTTGGTGCTGATCCCTTCGACCAGAAATACGTCAACAATCGGAACACCGTCCACTGCAGTCCCCGGCTCGACTGATCTCTCCGGTAGCTCTTCGCCCGCATATAGCGTCAGTACCGACCGCGCCAGAGACGGGTTCTCGCAAAGCTGGCGCACAATCATGGCGTACAGCGCGGCCAACGCCCGCATCGGCTCGTACTGGTTGGGCATGAGTGTCGCCTTCTCGACAAAGACCAGCTCGCCGGCTCGGATGGCCTCAGTGGCGAACAAGCCTCGACCGTGGTGCTGCGACTCGGCAATGCGCGTCCTCCGCAAGAACGAGCCACAGTCGAGGTGAACGCGCTGCGGGTTGAGTGACGCCAGCATCGTTGCAAAGGCGTAGTCACCATGTTCTTCCTCACGCAGCCGCGCCAAACATCGAGCATGCTCGCGCCGTACACCGCCCCCAGCCCCTTCGGCGTTCAGCTGGAGCGCCCGCGATAAGTACTCACGACTAGTCGCGTATTGGCACAGCCCGTATGCTGCCCGTCCAGCATTGTAGTAGGCCTTCCAGTCACCTACCCCGCCGGTACGCGACGCGAGGGAGTCGGCAAGGGCGGCATCGTACCGGCCAAGCAGTAGATTTGTGCCCGCCCATTTTGTGTATACGGGCGCTTTTAGTTTGTCGTCTTCAAAAGTCTCCAGGGCTTCGGTATAGCTAGTCATCTTGTGTCAGGCTCTGGCTAGTTGAAGATGTGACTAGGATGGCTCGTCTTGATACTTACCAAAACACGGCAGTCGGGTAATCCTTCTCGATAAACGCTGTGTCGCCGGCGGTGCGCCACTCCTTGGCCGACTTCAGCAGCGGCCCTAGACGCAGCGGCTCGGGAATCAACGGGTCGGTAAAGCGCAGCAGCACCACATCAGATGGGTGGTCGACGCAGATCATGTAGTCGTGCGCGGCGCCGTTGTGCGTGTAGTACGGCTCCTTGACGGCCACGACGCAGCCTTCGGGTACAGCCGACAGGGTGGAGGAATCGGGCTGGTTGTAGACGGCCAGCTTGTCGACATTTCCGAACGCGTCTTCAACCACGCTCACGGCGCCTGCGCTGATTTATGGCGGGCTGATGATCTTAACGATGATCCCGCGCCCGCGATGGTGCGTCTAGACACACAGGTCGCCCAAGGGTATCTTTTTCCGGCACAGCACACGTCAACCTCCATGAGATGTGTTCAGGCGCGCAAGTAAAGAAACCTACAATCTCCACATCATGTATCGACTTGGTCGACGCCGGGTACGCTTCGGCCAGTTCCGGTTGCTTGACGGGCCTCGGCGCATCTGGGTTCACATCGTTCCTCTTCAGATACGTCTTGTGCGTCTTGAGAAGCTCCTCCCGCGTCAGCTTCCTCGAAGGGATTTCGCCGTGGAGATGCTTTGGCGCAGCAACAGCAGCAGAAGGTTGGACGACGACGGCCATTATGGCATTCTTACTCGTGCTTTCATCTGACGATCACGCAATGTACATGATGCATCGTCTCAAAGAAAAGGTCATATCATGCCCTTTGAGAATACCGCCCGTTTGGGAAGTAACCAGGTGGCATTCTCGGAGCCCAAACAGCCGCATCTAGATTTCTCGGATTAGCCGGGGGTTCGTCGCTATTTTGCGGAGAGCCGAGCCATGAGGCGGCGGAGTTCTACAATTTGACGCCAATCGGAATTAGCCCTTTGCTACTAAGCGCATGCTTCGACACGCTGCCGGGCCGAGATTGCGCCTGTGGGTTTGCTACTGTGGGGAAGACCCCTTCTTGAGGTGTTCCATTGTGGACCCGTGCTGAATTATGTTGGACTGGTGCCCTGCACGATTAACCAAAAAAATCGCTTGGGCCGTATCAACTTGGCGGGGCAAATTGAGCACCTTTTGCGTGCTAACTGGTGGAATCAACGTATTCTGACTACTTTGAAGCTGCTAACAACGTCCATATTCGCTTTCTTTGGTGTTGTGGGTCTGCCTGTGACTGTCGCCAACATGCCCCCCAGCATCGAATTGGGCCAGGTTGATGTCGTCTGTACGTAAATTTGCACTTGCCAGGCATCTGACTGGCCTACCAGGGCGCCCTGCGAATTGGCAATTGGAAGGTCTGTAGATTGGAGGGGTTATTGAGTTAGCTAGGTTGAATTAAGTAAGGAAGGTGCAGCAGTAGGGCAGGTGGTTAGAATAATGCCACGACATATGCAGGCCGAGCTCAGTGGTCAGACCTGAATGAAGGTGCAACAGTACCTCGTGCTCCTCTCTTAACATTTGACAGCTTTCAACAGGCGGGGTCCGCTTCGGATATACTAACAGAAGCTGCTGGATCCCCTCCACGGAAGAACTAAGACGACGCCGGACCGAAGCTGCGTGTGACGGAATTCCTAAGCTGAGAGGAACGAAATAGGGAACTTCCGAGGAGGGGGTTGATCTGGCAAAAAGAAACGGGTTTATGTGAGTCTTCTTCACGTCGCCCTCGCCTAGTTAGAGACCTGGAGTTATTAGTCCCTACCCTCTTATGCCTCAGAAATCCATTACCGGCATAATAGTCACGCCGTATTACACTGCTAATGCCCACATCACCGGTATAACAGTCACGCCGTATTACACAGCTAATGCACGCTTACAACACTAAGAAAAGCGAATATTAACGTTATTGACAGCTTCAAAGTAGTCAAATAGTTAATTCTAGCGGTTAGCACGCAAAAGGTGTTCAATTTGCCCCGCCAAGTTAATACGGCCCGAGCCTTTTTTGGGTTAACCGTGCAGGCCACCCGCGCCTTAGCTGCAGAGACAATTTGGCGAGTATATCGGTATCTCCATTAAAGCCGCTCCATGCATCTGTCCATGCCTGGATAGATCTGAGGCTGATACCTATTCAGGTAGGTGCTCAGTCACTATAAGTCTGCTGCTAATTCAACGTTGCGAGACCTATTTAAACTAGACACTGCTCCTATCATCCATCGATCGTTGAGCCGTCCTCCCCTCTTCATTGCTCTTAGCAACACCCAATTCTATCTCAAACGACGATAACCTCCTCCCACACAGACTGGCAGACAGACAAGTAAAGATGGACGACCCCAACCCTAAACCTCACCCCCCTCGCAGCCTAGCCGCCCGCCTCGATACCTACGCCGCCAAAATCTACCGGCCCATTGGCTTCACTAAAGGCTACAACTTCATCCTCTGGTTCATGACTACCTCAGGTCTCCTAGGCTTCGTCCTCGCCCGCCTCGCCTACCTCAACTACGACGGCATCTTCTGCGCGCCGCTGTCTGCCCACACGAACAAAAACCTCCACGCCGGGCCAGGCCAGTGCTACTTTGGCCTGCGCGGCCACACGCGCGTGGGGCTGCTGATGCACCTCGCCACCATCCTCCCGGCGGGGCTGTTGGTCTGTGTCCAGTTCGTGCCGGTCGTGCGGCACCGCTGGCTGCTCGTGCACAGGTTGAATGGGTACGTGGTGATTTTGTTGTCGCTGGTGTCGACGGCGGCGGTGTTTATGATTGCGCGGGACGCGATGGGTGGGGATCCGGACACGCAGATGTATATTGGTGTGCTGGGGGCGGTGTTTCTTATTGCGTTGGGCTTGGCGTGGTGGAATGTGAAGAGGCTGCAGATTGAGTTGCATAGGAAGTGGATGTTGAGGGCGTGGGTTTATGTGAGTTTTGCTTTTTTGTGTTTCCTTCTTTGTCTTGGCTTTTCTTTCTGTCTTCCCATCTTCTACTCCTTCCCTCCCTCCCTCTCTTTCTCCTGTTCCTTTGCATTCCTGTTTTTGGTTTTATTGTATTACAAGAAAAGATTGGAACCTCACTATTGACGGCCATGATTATTTTAACATACATAGGCCACCTCCATCATCACCCTCCGCCCCATCGGCATACTTGGCGCACCCATCCTGTCCCGGACAGGCCCGTACTACATAGCGCGCCCATGCAAGATCATTCACGACACGCTGGGGAACAACCAGGGGCTCGTGCTGCAGTGGTATCCCAGCTGCCATCCGTGGTATGATGGGGCCGATGACGAGCTGCAGGTGCTTGTCCGCGCTGATACGGGTGGCAACCTCATGGAGAGGGCCGCGGCGACTCTTGTCTTGTTTGCGGCCGCTGGGTGGCTGGCGTTGACAATGCATGCCATTGCGGTTGAGGTTTATGTGAGTGCTCTGTTATGTTTTGAATGGGGTCATGGTGGAATAGAAGCTGACAAGATGGCGTGTGAAATCGACATAGCTGCACCTGACGCCCGCCGAGCACGAGAGACTGCGCAACGTGTCATACCAGCGACAGGTTGAGGCGGGTATGAAGAATCCCGGGAGGGCTGGCCTGACGGCGGACCGCCTGGGTGACAGCGCTTTGTGGACGCCGCAGGAGGCTACCACGGTGGTGCAGACTGTGGCGACTGATAAGGAGTCGACGACAGCCCACGTCTAGGCAGCCATCGGTGCCGATACATGGAGATTGGCGTGATGTATCATGTCTCCTTGCCTAGTCATCCTCGCGGAGTCCTTGTGTGTCTCAAGTTGGTGCCAGAGTCAATGTGCTTTGGCAAAATTGGATAACCCTACACTTTGGTTCGTTTGTGACCTTGCAGTCGCGTCCAGATGTGAGCCAACGAAGAGGCTCTCTTGGGCTAGTGACTGGTATAGTGGGGAGGATGAAGGCTTGGGAATTAGCATACTGTTAGTGAATGCCCGAAAGGCGAGGACTTATAGGTTACGACCACTGTGCGTATATAGCATTTATACACTTAAGGATAACGTTAGTCTATGCCAAAACTCCTAAGTATGACACCTCTCATGCGGGCGTAATAGCCTATCCGCAATTGATCGATCCCAACCAACCGCATCCTCTCACGAGTGTCGCCAGTACTGCCCCATGCGGCTTTGATGATGCTTTTCTCTATAAATTTCATGACGGCGTCGGGATCATCAATATTCAATCCGCAGAGTTTAAGTGTATTGCTGAGTTCTTCCCGCTGACGTTCGTTTTTGTCAATGAGCGCGTCGAATCGTGACCTGATTTGTTTCAGCTTTGTTCTCCTGACTTTGCGCCGTGCATTGAGAGCGCCCTCTTCCAGATGTTCTAGCCTTAGGCTGAATGCTTCGGCCTCCTTGATTACATCATTGACGATGCGAGAGAGTGTCTCGTCACCAGTGGTAAAACTAGTCGTCATTTGACAAGATCACCGGTGAACAGGAGGATACTGTATGAATCTAGGTGCTAGGAAGCAACTGAGAGTCCTTGCTAATTGAAGAGACATTGGGTGTTTATGTATTTTGAAACGTGCAGGTAAGTCTGAGGCACAAACAACGTCTCGATCATAAGGAACAGGCTTTACAAGCAAGATCCAAGAATATACCGACTTCGCCCGTTTATCTCTATACCGATGTGTACAACTAAGTGTTCGGTACGCTAAATATGATTAAGCAGAGCGGCGATTTCTAACCTGCCACAGTTTCCTGCCCGATGGTGGACAAGATTTAATCAAGCTCGACCAGCGCGCGAACCATATCCTGCGATTTCGTTCTGAATGGCCCGTTCAAGTGGTAGATATACCTCTGCAACTCTGAGTAACTTTACGGCCGCATCCTTCTCCCCAAGTGCCTTGTACCCCAGCGCTGTTCGGTAGTAAATTTTAGCAAACGAGTCGGCACCAGGAATACGACGGCATGCTTCCCTCAATGGCCGCATATCCCCCTGCTCCCGAAATGATCTGAAGTAATGAATGGTCTGCTGGCCGCATTCTATCAGTCGATTCCAGTCCTTCAGCTTGAGAAATACCTGGCATGTGTTTGCCAGAAGTTGCATGCTTAGTTTCTCTCTCGCGTCGAGCCATTCCCTGCCGCGTGGCGGATCCCGTTCCGTAAACACATCAAGGAAGAAGTCCTGGCCGTAGTCGTGTCGCTGGCAGCCTCTGATAACGATGTATATCGCTTCTCGGGCCTCCGTGTAATTCTCTCAGGGCCTCATTATAATCACCCTGCTTGAGTGCCTTATTGCCTTCCTCTTTGAGCCTAGTCGCTTCGCTCAAGCATTGTTCTTGTGTAGGCATGGGGTCGCGTTGTGCGTTGCGCGACTCGCATACGACCGACGGCAGCGGAGTTGGATTGCCCTTCACGGTGACTTTACGGAGACATTTAACCATGCCGAAGGGCATAAGCAGCTGCCGCTGCAGTGACTCAGTTGTCATTGCCTCGTCTTGGTGCAGAAGACAACGGTCACGGAGACTCAATTCGAGCTCCAGATATCCATTGGCGCCAGGATACTCAAGATGCGCGCAAAGCCAGCTGTGAGTGGGCTTGTTCAGATTCTCGAGGAGCATGACGAAGTGCAGCGGCTCCTCTTGTCCCATGAAGAAGCGGACGACACGCGAAACGCGCAAGCTAAGGCTGTGGTCCGTGAAGGATTTTGCATGTTGACCCTCTTTGACGAAGGAGACATGACTTCCAAGCGCGTGGATGAGCGCGTGCGTCCCCTTAGGCCGCTCTATCTCGACACAGACGAAGATATTTAGTTGACAGAAGATGTATTGGGCTTTTGAGTAGATTTGGTGATTGACGCGGAAGAGGGCGAGGGAGTCGCCGTATCTGTAGTTGTATTTATCAGTATTAGGGTCGTATTCGCGGTTTGCATTCGGGTCAAGCAGAAGCCGGTGAATGTGGTTGCGAATCTCCCCAGGTATGGAGAGAAGGGTCGGTTTGACCTCGGCAGTCATTGTCCCTTATGCGAACGACTAACGAACAGGATAGCAATAAGCGGGCAGGGTACGAAGCTGGACGGATAATACCGGATAGAACAGAGCAAAGCTAGCGTTGATTGAATGGCAGGAGACCACTGGGGAATGAGGTTGCAGCAGACGGGCGGTCTGCATCGTTACGACGCTTCTTGAGCTCGTCAACAGCCTTGTCCGGAGCGATAAAGTTGCGCTCGCGGGTCCGGACGATCTCAATTTCCGTTGCCACGTTGCTCAACCACAATCGTGTTTAATGTGCCGTCTTGCGTCTTTGGATCTCCCCCAGCAGGATTTCGCCATCTTCCACCTTCGCAGCTATGACATTGAGGATGCTGCGAGGCAAATTAGACTTTACCGAACGTCCCACTGCCGAAGGTGCTTCGGGCAGAGATCAGCCCACGGGCCTCGCAGGACGACATGCTTGTTCGAAAAGGGTCGCTTAGTCCCGATCTTTCATAGCTACTTGCTGTTTTGTTGTGTTGAGTGTTTATTTTTGTTTGGTGTTGGATGTTTGGTTATGTTTGATGCTGAGTGTTTGGTTGTGCTTGGTTGCACAAAGTACTTTTTAAGTGGTGCCCAGTTGAGGGCGCCAGTGCCACTGCAATTCTGAGTCGATGGGAAGTACTGTACAGGTTCAACTACGCTGCCTTGCTGCAAACAGCTGCTCGTGGTGCGAGCACTGGTGCCACGTGAGGACTTGAGCCGCCGCGTAGCTTACTAAACTCTTGTCGTGCCTCATCATGATCTGCTGTGTGGTCTAGGACCCGAGTAATATGCATTTCGGCCTGAACTTGCCGTGTGAGCCTCCGCGGCCATCTTTGGCCCGCGCATGTCCAACAATCGCTTCTCTGTTGGCTTTGCACAGCTTCTTTTGCATCCATCAGTCGTGACAACTTGCTCAGGAGACCCATGATTGACACCAGAGTGACGCTGTCGTTCCTCTCCCTACCACCGGAGATTCGGAAGCAGGTCTACCAGCTCGACGACTACCTTCATCTTCATGGCGATTACAACTACAAACACTCACTCGTTGACTCAGCGAACTAAGCAATCACGAGGCAAAAAACGTCTTTCGTAAAGTCAGCATTTCCCTCTGTGTCGAAGCAGTGTGGCCCAGGGAGTATATGCTCGAGCGTCATGTCCCCATCTCAAGGCCCAGCAGGCAAAGAGCTTCAATGAACATAGCCTGGGCGTGCACATCACGCGCCGCAACCCCGGATCGTTTCCAGAGCCGCGGTATTGAGTCGCTTCTTGCTGGCGATCTAGACAAGTCCACCCGGAGCTGGTTATACGCGCATCTTGAAAGGCCAAGCGTCAATGAATCTTGCAGATTCGAATTGCGCCCTCGTAGCCGTTGTGCTACGGCTCAGGACAAGACAATTACAACTAGGCAGCTCTAGCGGAAACTACTCATGCGCCTTGGCATAGTCAAGCGTCTTCAGACCTTCGTTATCAAAGGTGATTCGGCGCCGCCACCATCGGCCGCTGCCTGAACTTGTATTGCGTCGCTCATCTTTCCCTGCTTCAGACACAAAGCTGAGAAAATAGAAAGGGCGCCTGTGAAGTCCTCACAGTTCCCATATCGAAACCAATTGATAAGCCGCTCAACAAGCTGCGAAGCTTTGCATCGGCTGTCCTCTGGTGTTCCCGGAGCAGCTTCGGCATCCAAGGCGGTATCGTATATGATCATAGTGTTTTTCGGGGGGGCTTAACCTCCAGTTGACATTCGAAATATTGCCATAATTTTTGTCGCGATCTCAGGCCGTAACAGGCGGCAGGGGGGTGGCAGGTATGTGCCGCGTCACGAGCGCACGGTAGCCGTGGAGTCCTTGGCGGTGGAGCTTTTGGACAATCGAGCAATGGGTGATTTCAAATACAGGTAGAGAGAGGAATGACGGAGTCCTCTGAGAGTGATAATTTGCTTAAAGTATCAGTTCCGTGCCAGGCATTTTCCGACTTTCGGCTGACTTAGAATGGTTGATCCTAACATGTGTCTATGCTGTCGGTGATGCGCCTCGGCCTCGATAGCGCTTGTGACTGTGTTGGTTTATGTTGGGTTGTGTTGGCTCATGTTGGGTGCTACTGGGAATGGTTTGGTAGTCTCATATCAACGTACTATCAAGGCCTTAAACCCCCCACGCTAACAACGGGAGGTCAACGACGCTTCACGCTCCGTCAATAGCCATATCGACTGGCCTCGAGCACTGACAGCGGTACCCCTACGAAAACCTGGAGGGGCGTTGGTCAGTATGGCTAACAATTAGGTTCGGACCTAGTCACGTCCGACGGAGGGTCGCGCCTTTGCCGGCGCCGCTAGCGTGCTGACTGCCAATGCCCTCTCATCACGACCGCCTCAGCGTTGTTCCCGCTTCATGCTCGCGACGGTTCCGTGACGCCCGACGAGTCTGGGGCAGGCACCATCAGTTGGGTGTTGCACGGCCGTGACAGAATGACGATGTCCGAAATTCATACCTAATGCTGCGATGTTTCCACCTTTGGGATAATAAGCTGCGTCCGCCCAAAATCCGTGATTCCTGAGGATCGTCTCGCATTTCTGAAGTTCAGAGTATAATGCGACGGCAAGGTAGCCTACCTTTTGTCCGGCGCTCGAAACTTCGACAGCGTACCTAATGATTGCTGCATCTCCGAGTCGGAGACCGTCTAACACGGTAAGCCGGAATCTCCAATCACCGACCCAGCATACCGGTGCCGGGCCGACGCGACTCAACCCCGATGACGCCTGATTTCCAAGTTCCACTATGGTTCGGTCCGGCCCGATCGGTCACCTAGAGAGCCGGCACAGTCAGCAACTTCCCTTCTCGGTAACATCTCAGACTGTGCGCTCGGGCTCCGACTTGCATTGTCGGTTGATTGCCCCTAAAGTCGGCACACGATGGCCTCCGTCTTGAGGGTCAAATTGATTCTTCCATCTCGGTCGCTCGCACCCATGACTACCACCGACATTTTCAATATAATCCAGCCGGCTGCAAGGTCTTTCATTAGGGAGGTATTCAGCACTGCCCTACACTCATCTGCATCATCTTCCCAATTCATTTTGCTCTTCTCCCGTCGCAGCGAATAAGCAAAATGGGGGACTGCGGTTCGACTCGCCTCGATGCCGATATCAGAACTCTCGACGGCGTCACGCTGCGCGGATGGCTGTTTCCCGCTGTCTCGCGTGGCCCCGGCCATGATAATGACGCCAGGGGTAACTACCTTCCTAACACCTTTTGTCTACCTTCTTGCTACTTCCCGCTCTAGAAACGCGTTTAACAAGAAGACGTGGGGGAAACTGACGCATGGCTTGTGTGCCTGGCCCTTCTCTAGTTCAACTTCCCCAAGGATGCCAACCTGCCCGATATTGCAAGGTGGTTCCAGGAACACGGCATCACCGTTCTTCTCTATGATCCGCGCGGTGTAGGCGCGAGCGACGGAGAGCCTAGAAATGAGGTAAATTTCAGTGTCCTTGCTGGAGTTGATGGTGCTTCTTCTCCGCAAAAGTCCCGCAACCTTTCAACGTTTTTCATGTCCGCTGACGTTTTGTGATTAATTTTCTCCTGGCGCGAGCAGGTCGACCCTCGTCAGCAAATCGAGGATCTCCATGACGCCGTGACCTGGATCAAGCAACATCCTCTGGTCGAAGAGACCAAGATCGCACTGTGGGGATTATGTTGGGGAGGGAACGTCACCCTTGCGGCGACTGCATTTGAGTACGTGTGGGCTGTCCTTCCAATTTCGCCCAACGATACAAATTCGCCCAGACGTGCCGTGGTCCCCCCCTCGAAGCTAATTCAGACTTCTTTTTCTTTATTTTAGCAAGCGTGTGGCGGCCACCATAGCCATGGCACCCATGATCAACACGGACGGCAGTGCCGAGAGGCGCAAGCCGCTGTTGGAGCTCGCCATGCACGACCGTGAGAGCCGGCTGCTAAAGGCGGGCCAGAGCCCCATGTACCTGCCCTACATTGACGAGGACGGCAACATGCCCAACGGGCAGGAAATGGCGCCCGAGATCGTCCCCGCGCTCGAGCGGCTCGGCATCGCCCTCGAGAACCGCATCTCGGTGCAGACGTACTACAAGTGCCTGGGGTGGAACCTGCTCCACGTCGTCAAGTACGTCGCGCCCACGCCGACGATGATGGTCACGCCCGAGCTCGACGAGACGAGTCCCCTGGACAGTCAGCTTCATTGCTTCACCCCGATGGGGTACCCCAAGGAGTTGGATATCTTGAAGGGAAGTGGTCATTTGGACTGGATGTTCAAGGATCTAGAGCAGATTCTGCGCAGGCAGTTTGACTTTCTGAAGAGACACTTGAAGTTCTAAGGGGGTTTTATTACGAGTAGATATAGAATAGGGCGCCACCTTCTATCCGGTTCTAGAACTTTATATTGAACCTCTATAGCCGCAGGTGTACAATGTTACCCATCTCGCGACCTCTAGTGTATTTCTGCATGGTCCATTTCCGCCTGCAGTTGTTGAATAATGCGCCTCAGTCTCTCACGCTCACTAGGTATGTTTTCGACAATCTCTTGCACATGCTCGAGCAGACCACTGCGGTGCGGCGTCGAGTGGTGGGTTGATGTGGCCGACGATGCAGTAGACTGATCGGGGCCAATGTCAATGGCATAGTCGTCGGTGGCCATGGTACTGCCGTCGAGCATAGCCGCGGGTGCGATAAACTGGCTCTCCTGCTCAGCCGTCGTGTTCGATATCTCCAAGATGCGGCCCATGCGACTGATGAGATGCATCAGCAATTGCAGCACCATGACGAACTGGGCGACATTGAGAGGTCCCACGCCGCTGTTGTCTCGGGCGGCGTGTTGTTGTTGTTGTTGTTGTTCTTGCTGTTGTTCCCGCTCTTCTTTCTTGGCCTGCAGTCTGCCCTTTATGGCATCGCATATGGCTTGGAAGAGCGTCATGAGGTTTTGGTAACAGGCGAGAGCCGAGATGGCTAGTCCGGCGCAATCGGTCGTGGTCATTGACTCGTCGCATCCTGCCGTCGCTACCACGTTCATAATGTCGTTGACGGTGCTTATCAGCGTATTCGTGTCCTCCAAAGCCTCGGTCACCTCGGGCGACGACACCATCAGGGTGGTTGCGCCTGCTCCTGTGCCGGAGCGGGAAAGACGGCGGGCTGTCCGCATGGCCCTTTGGCTCACGGCCGTCAGCTGGGAGAACAAGAAGCTCCTAGCATCTTCGTGGTCGGCGTCGGTCCCCATCAATGGAGCTTGGGCGGTGGCGTCGTAAAAGGACATCCCCGGCATACATGAAGCAGATACAGCGTCTGCTAGCAAGTTTGCGAGTGACTCGCGCGAAGTTGGGGGCATTTGAAGCGCCAGCAGATGGTGCTCGGCGTCCGGCGCACCGAAGCCGCCGGCGGCCGTCTCGCTTCCGTCAACGTGCAGGTTGGAAGAAGGGTGACCCATCAACGCTGTCATGACGTGGGAGGGACCAGTCGATGACCTGGGCGTCCCATCTACATAACCAACGGCCGGCCCGAGGTCGAACAGGTCTATGCTTCTAATTTCGCTCGGCGAGCGAACAGAACAGCGCCGGCGCTGGCCTCGTTGTTTCTCTGTGAGCGATTGGTCAGCTTGTTAGGTTTCATCGTCTGTTGGTCCGCCCTAGCACCCGTCCCGCGGTCCGTACCACTCTTTCTCCCCCGCCAAGTAATGTTACTGGACGACGAAAAGGATATGCGGTTGGTTCCTTTAACGAAAAAGGATGAAACATACCACTGTACCTGCATTCCGCTCCTGCCTTAGCACAACGGTCGCACAACAGGGAAGCGGAAACCGGGCCTGGGCCTGGGATCGAGAGATTGTTGTCTCGCAAGCACCTCACTTTCTGCTGACGACAACGGTCGCAGGACTGGCGGTGTGCAGGTGGCATGGTATGCCAAAGACAGGGCGGCCGGAGATGAAGATTGAGGAGATTGAGGATCGGCTAAAAGAAGCACTTATTTCCGGCGAAGAGTAGCGATGGGGAGGATGGCCCTTTTGGTGAAGCTGGTTGCACGGGGACCAGCTTTAACCACGGAATCCGCTTCGTTTTCACTCGGCGCCACCAATCATGTATTTTTCCTGCAGTGTAATGCTCGCATTTTCCTTAGATCAGCTTCGGCTTCCCCATTCATCCGCGGCTGACTTACAGCGCTGGACGTCGATGATGACGTGCTCTTGTTCGCACCCAGCCTTGTTCATATCAAACCATGATATGCGATCAGCAAATCCTCTGCGACGTTGGCTAGTATAAGGTGCATAGGTATTGCGCCATCCGTGCGATTGTGCGCTGAAGAAAGGTCCCTTGCCGCACTGATTTAATGTACAAGAACACCTTTCCTGTGACTGACGGAAAACACCGACTCAGCCGCACGCACAGGTGCAGGCAATGGAACCAGCCGAGGATGTTTCCAAGAGGCTTGGCGCGTCCCAACCACGACCAACGTGTACCTTTGTTTACATTGCTACCACACTACCACATTGTCGAAACTTAAATAGCTTCATTCCATGCCCTAGACGGATCACGACCTGCTGCAAAGGGAGGGATAGTTGCCGGGGTGGTAATTGTATTGTAGCTGCCGAGGTAGGCAGCAGAATCATCCCGTTAACTGCAGTGCTAATCAGTTGGGGGAGCGCTAAGTTCCTCGGAAACCATCTCGGTAGCTGCAGCTTGCACGACGCGCTCTCATCATTGGCCACCTGGGCTAGCAGGCCTCAGGGTCGCAGCGTGATAAGCCTTTCGAGGTTGCAGTACATGTTAGTGGTGGGTAGCATTGTGGACGAAATGGGTCAAGTTCGGTCCGGGATGCCAAGCCGGGCCCTAGTGTGACCCCACGAGGCGTGCAGATCATGTCTGTTTCCGTGCTGCTCTGTTTGCTTGTTCAAAGAACCATGCATAGGACCCCTTTTCGTCTTCAAAAGTACCATGCATAGGACTCTGTTCAGCACAAGCTGTCATGTCGTATCTGTCTCGTATTTGTAAGCGAGCGATGGTGTTTCGAATTAATAAGCGCGTGAGATCGCGGACATTCCGTCAAAACAAACAAGCGAAATTGAGAAAACTGAGCAAGGCTTCCTCCAGCTACTTTACACCGCCGTCACCACAACGCCGTCACCAACTCATCTCCTTGTTTCCTCTTCTCGAAGTTCTTTGCCTCTGACTCTCACACTTATCAGTTCTCGCTCCCCAAAATGGTCACCGCAAGCAGGAAACCATGTCTTCAGAAAAGGCTGTCCCAGCCGACAGCGACACCGTGCAGGGGGGTTCACAAACCGCCGACAAATCACAGCTGTCTCAAGGTTCTGACAAGCCAGATAACGAGGTCCAGCTGCAAGCCGACGGGCCCCCTGATGGTGGCACCGGCGCCTGGCTCGCTGTTCTAGGCGCCTGGTGCTGCTCCTTCAATAGCTTCGGCTGGATGAACAGTAAGCTTTGCCCAAGCTTTGCCTAAACCCAACCAACCAAGTGCACCGGCCCGAATGAATGCCATTTTAAGTTAGAGACAGGGAGGGGGTCTCGCCCAGTAATAGTTGGGGCGGTGGAACTGGGGCACTTTTTTAATGGCTACGCGCGACCCACATGTGCTGGGGGGCGTCTTCCCCGCACCTCCCTCCGCCGTCCTTCCGCCCTCCAGGCTAGAAAGCTGCCCTGCCTCTGCCCACGCACAACATGTCGGGCACTTCCAAGGACAAATCCAGCCCGCCCTTCCAGGTTGTTTGATTCGCCCCACGGCTTTATTTATCTTCGACACCCGCACGTCCAATAATCGCTTCCCTATTGGGTTCGCGCAGCCTATCCCGCATACATCAGTCTTGACAGCTTGCTCAGGAGACCCATGATGACGCCGTCATTCCTCTCCCTACCACGTGAGATTCGGGACCAGGTCTACCACCTCCTGCTCGAACCGAACGCAAATTGCGACTATTAACCTAATGACGATGTTCAAAAGTATAACTACAAACGCTCACTCGCCCTTCTTCGACTCAGTAAACAAATCCATGCCGAGGCGAAACCCGTCTTTCGTGAACTCAACATTTTCGTCCGTGTGGAAGCAGTGTGGCCCGAGCAGGATATGGTCGAGCGTCAAGTTCCCATCGTCATCGAGGGCCAGCAGGTAGAGCACTTCACGGAGCATAGCCTGAGCGTGTACATCAACTTCGGAACGTCGGGAGAGCCGTGGGACCTGGAGTCGTTTCTAGAGCGGTGGAGATCCGAACCGTACTCCCTCGTGCTTCTTGCCGACGACCTCGACAAGTTCACTCGCAGCTGTTTGTACGCGCGTCTTGAACGACCAGAAGTCAATGAATCACCCAGCCTCAAACTGCGCCTTCGAAGCCGTTGTGCTACGGCTCAGGACACGGCTCAGGACAAGGCAATAACGACCAGGGAGCTGCAGCGGAAGCTGCTCATGCCCTTTGGCATAGTCAAACGACTTGAGAACCTCGTTATCGAGGGTGAGCCGGCGGCGCTACCATCGGTCGAACAGGAATTGCGCGACGCGCAGCTCGTTTCCCTACCCACGGGAGAAGAGTGCCTGGCCAAAGCGACGACGCTTAAGGCCACAGGCAATGAGGCAATTGAGCAGGGCGATTACCATAAAGCCCTCAAGATTTATAGAGAGGCACTGGAAGCGATATACTATATCGTCACGGGCCGGGGGCATTACACATACACCGACTTGACCGCACTATTTGACCCCTCCATACAGTAGCCCTGGCTCGACGCGAATTGGGACAATGAGAGACTGAGACTGTCCAGTGAACTCCTGGCAGACATATGTCGCGTATTTCTCAAGCTGAAGGACTGGAATCAATTAATCGTATGGGGTACGGAGATTATCTCCCCAATGGATGAAGTTATCATCGACATGGCCGGTGCTAAATCTATTGGGGAGATCTACTACCTTACTTCGTTGGGTCACAACGCGCTTGGAAAGGACGACGAGGCTGTGAGACTACTTAAAGTCGCGAAGTTGTATCTCCCACGTGATATCTCTATTGGGAATGAGATTGAAGCTTGTAATCTACGCATTTCATCGAGGTCAACTCAATCTTGGCTGCAGATAGGTCAAGGTAGTGGCAAAGAGATGAAGCTCGGAGCAAGTCAGTACTGAGGCAATTTATGTTCCTTGGAAATCACTTGATACGGAACTCATGGCGGATCACGATAGGCACACAGCAAGGCGATGTTTGGAGTAGTGCGCTAACTTAGGCCAGGTCACAGGCACGTCCATCATACAGCTTACAGAGAAGTGTCGCGTTGACCCTGTCATATCCTGCCTTCCTATGTGCCTTTACTGTATAGTTATGTGACTGCTGTTGCGGTGTATTTCTATCCTACGCATGAGCCCGGCAAGCCCTTGGTGTCTCAGCATCTCTGGTATAAATTTTCGATATTGAATATTGGTATGCGCTTGGCTTGATATTAACGAGCCAGTTTCTCGGCGATCCAGTGATTACAGGAACCAGCACACTTGCCAGTGGCGTAGAGTCTCGATGTTGCGTCCGGCCTGCTAGTAAGCACGGGGGCTTCCGCCTGCGATCAGCCACTCAGTAATAATCCGGGGATGGGAGTTCGAGGATAGACAGCTAGGAAGCGTTGAAGGGGTGCTACTGATCCGCTCGAAGCCCAAAAAGGACAAGCCAAGCGTGGCAATGATATCTCAGCAACTCTGCACGACACATTTTGTGTTGCCGAGCCGCACCACACCACACCACACCACGACCGATCATGTTATGTGATTCGCCAATGGCTCTCTCTCTCTCCTTGTCGCCGCCGGGTCTGCATTCCCGGCGGCTGCACCTCGTGCCGGCCCCGGTGCGGTCACCACTGCTGGTTTTCGGCCGGGTGTTCCGAGGGCACTGAATCCGTAATCGGGCTCTGTGAGACGCGCAATGGGCTCCACATCCGGAGTTGTGGTGGGTTAATGATGATGCTGATGCTGATGACGGTGCTGTCCACACAGTACGGCCGAATTCTGGCAAGGCCTAGGCTGTGCTTGATAGCAGTGGCTGGGAACATCGTCGCTTAGATGTCCACATCTTCTTCTCATCAATGAAAGAGGTTTTGTACGGAGAGATACAGCGAGCCCGCACGTTTTCATGGCGGAGCATCAGATTGCGCAGAGAAATCGCACTTACTGGGGCGACAATGCAGGCAACGACCGACCGGGCGACGGTGGGGGAAGTACTCAACACTTGCAGATGGCACCCGAACGACGATCCCAGGCTCCGCATGGGTTTTCCCGAGACGTGCTGACAGCGGCTGGGCTTGTCCAAGGGTGATTTTCACTAGGCTCGGGCTCAGATCAACGACCTTCTAATCGCGGACAAGCACCGCGATACTTAGCCCAAACGCCATCACTCGCAGACTGGTGACCGTTGGTGGTGCCTATCAGTCCAAAATTCCACGCTTGTCTCAACTCGGCACAATTGAGCACCTTTTCAACGGAAGACGCCTTGCTGCCGGATCTGTTGATGTCGTCTGAGCTCCATAGAGCCATGCAGCGCGACTTTAGCCAAGAACAGTGCGGCCCGCCGAGGGACATGCAAGACGCACCCGACTTCAGCCAAGGCTTTTGGTAAGGGGAAGAAGAGAGGTATTTCACATCCGTGAGCAGCGTGTTCCGGGTGAGCTGTCGCGACGTAATCGCTCTTATGCTCGAGCGTCATGCACACCAATACAAATACGTACTGGTAGATTGTTGAGCTGACATATTCCTCCATTCCCCGTGCCACGCTCCAAACCACCTAGGTTGGCACGCTGTTTCTGTTGCAGTCTACCCAAAGGTCGGCCGCCAGCTCGTTCAACATGCCGCCGAGCATGTTAGGTTGGTGAGACGGTCATCGACCGTTAATCCCTCGAGCTACTCACCTGGATACAATCGGATCTGTTCGAGCGGGCTCGCAATAAACCTCTTTACTTGTGCAATGGATTCCACTCTTGCCCTGTCCGATCGCAATATCCAGGCGGAATCCTCTTACTAGGGCTCCGTCCTGCCTGGGTGCTCTGCTGTTTGCATTAGACCTCAGTGGTATCCTTAGCACATACACGCACAAATCGTCTCGCAGCTGGAGCTGAGTCTGCAGTCATCCCGCCAACTCGTACAGGCGGAGCTCCAGCGGTGGGAGAAACGATAACGACAGAGGTAACGGACGTCACTATTATTAGCAAACCACGTGTCTCTCAAGACCGGGCTGACTATGTAATGCCCCTCGCTGGCGCTTTATATCGAACTGAGAGGAAATAAAGCCATTAGTTACGTCTAGGTACTGTACCTATCGCACAACTCAAGCAATAATTCATCCTACGTTTACCACAAGATCGAATTGCCTCGGTTCTAGATAGCAATAGGGGGTTGCATTCAGGGCAATAATGCAGGGGAGGTGACAGGGGCTCACTCAAGTACTTCTCAACACCCGAGGTCATGTCCGTAACACCTCGAGTCAATGTTAAAGGTCCAGTTTTTATGTGACTCTCCCCCCTCAACAGACAATGGTTTCAGTAGAACCCATCGGTCGAGAACCAAAATGAGCAAGGATCCTTCCAGAATCTCGAGTTGAGAGACAGAGAGACGCAGAGAATAATGTGAGCAATGCAAGAACACGAGGCATGCTCCTGATAGCTCCAAGAAGTAGATGCTAAGCTGGACGGGATCTTATTAAGTATTCGCCAGATACGTCGTGTCATTCCATCATTCCTATCAATCTTGGCCACGCAAAGTAGCAACAAGGCAGATGGTCATTCATCCTCAGGCAAGTGCTTGCTTCTGCTCCCTACATATAGGCTAGTACGTATATCTAAGTCTGCCCCCCGTCTCGCGACCAGAGTACCTCGCGACCACCAAAATCGCTAAAACTGCTCTTTTTAGGACCCCTGTTACCTCCCCTATTTTATAAGATATAACGTAATCCACAAGTGAACGGGTCACTTTCCTGCAATATTAAAGAGATACTTCTTTTCCTTCCTTTTCTCCACCAATAATAATGGGACGACAATCAATTGAAAGCGACTTGGTTCTCGCGCTTAATGCGCTCCAATCGGACCCAAAATTAAGCGTACGAAAGGCTGCATCAATCTATAACGTATCGCGTACGACCCTTCAACAACGATCTCACGGCCGAACTACGAAGCGTAATACCCGACCACCCTGCCAGAAATTGACCTCGTACGAAGAGGACAGTATCGTACAATACATACTTGACCTAGATTCGCGTTCGTTTCCACCGCGGTTAAGTGGTGTTCGAGAAATGGCGGATCGACTCCTCCGCGTACGCGACGCGCCACGCGTTGGAACGAACTGGGCCTCAACCTTCGTACGACGACGACCTGAGCTCCGTACGCGTTTAAATCGAAGAATCGACTACCAGAGGGTCCTCTGCGAGGATCCGGACGCGTATTACGCGTGGTTTAAGCTCGTACGAAACATAATCGCGAAATACGGGATCCACAATGACGATATCTACAACTTCGACGAGACGGGCTTCGCGATGGGCAAAATCTCCGTCGAAACCGTCGTTACGACCTCCGATCGACGCGGGAGGCCAAGAGCTATACAACAAGGGAATCAGGAATGGGTTACAGTAATCCAGGGCATCGCGTCGTACGGCTATTCGATCCCGCCGTATATCATCTTCGTAGGGAAGGTCCACCTCGACTCCTGGACCGCGATGTGACGACCCGACCAACAGGTCGCAGGATCGGGCCAAGGACAAGGGCAGGTCATGCACGCGGGACGGGCACACCCCAGGTTACGTAAGAAATCTCCTTATGTCAGCAAGGTTATCGATAGGAAGGATCACCGGCTCACTAGGTGAGCCAGTGAGCCTCGCACCAGGATCACGGTGATCCACCAACCGGATCACGGTGATCCACAAACCCGGACCAGTGATCCACTGACGGTTTGTTGGTGTTTGTTCGTGTTTGTCACCACAAACATGACATGAGCGATGAGGAGGAAAGAATACATAAAGGGGCTGAATGCCCCAGAGTAATTAGTTTAGCCTTTCATCCTCAGCGATCAATCTAAGTATCAGTTTCACCCACACTTGAACTAGTCACTCAATTGCCGAGACTGGTATCTCTTCCAAGAGACACGAACGACAACCCAGAGAGAGAACGACAGCAGAGTGTTAGTTGTTATTGTACAGGCTTTACCTATCTTGCAGAACAGCAACCCCAGCGCCCTGCCAGACGGCTGACCCCGGAGGCAGGATCGTGACATTTTGATCGCTCTTGTTCAGGTACGTACACCCTGAGCAATAACAACTAACAACAGGTACCACAGTTGCACAACAATGAACAACTTGCCACCACACCTTCTCACTTCAATCGGAAACCTTCTCGAAGACCTTTCACGACAAGTACACCTCCTTGCAGACCACCTCGACCAGGTTCCTTCGGACACCCCACGCACCCAAAGCGTAACCACTGAAACACCAAGGGAACGATCGAACTCGTGGATCAAGGACCCAACGTCGGCAGTACTCCCCAAGACACCACCCACCTGTACTAAACACCTGTGCGGGAAGTACGCCATCTACGTCGGACGTTGCGCGGACCACCAGTGGAACACCCACAGGAGCATCTGCGACACTTGTCACCAACCCGCGTACCAAGGACACAACTCGAAGTGTCTCGGACGCGAATTTACCAAAACCTCACCGGAAGGACTCGCGGAAGCACTCTCCCAACTCACAATTAAGAAGGAGA